TCCCACCCCCGGGACCGATTAGATTTGGCATGAACAGGAAATGAGCCACTCTAGTGTGGAGCCTCTAAGGTTGTGGGGTTTCTCTGAGACAACAGCTCGTATCCCAGTAGCTAAAACGTGCTATGAAGTCATTTAACCTCTTCAGCTTCTCTAAGCGGGCAGGCAGAATTTGCCTTCTGCAATGCCCCACTTAATCCACTTGGGATTGATATGCCATGTGCATAAAAATAGTTCCCTATTCCATGTCCTTTTTCAGCCCTTCCCCCATGCATTTTTACTTATTTGCAGCAATCATTTCAAAATTACTTACTATGTAGCTTTTTCACTTAACACACCACAGCTTTCTTCCACATCGCCATAGCCTCCACAATTATACATCTTATTGAATGCTTAATATTCCATCAAGCGGATGGACCCTTACTGCCTAAGACAAGTGTGACCTGCTGCTCTTATATCTAGAGCAAATAAAATGGCTGTTGTCTTAAGCTATTAAGTTGTGGGGTGGTTTGTTACCAAGAAATGAGTAAGTAATGTGATATCCACACCATCAAGCCCAAACGGATGAGTAAGGATATGAACAGAAGAACAAATGAACGGAACTGACGGATGAGGGGCGTACACTTAGGCCGTGATCAGAATCATGGAAGAAGTCAAAGAAATGGCCCAGAAGGAAGGATTAGACTAACTTGTGAATGCTGGAGGCCCCTTCCGTCAGTGTCTGGTGCAGTGGCAGGGCAGGGGTGGTGACTTCCAAGCACCAACTGGGGTACTGTGGCATAAGTTACTTAATATGGCTCTCCTAGCCCAAGTCTTCTTAACTCCCACCAAATGACTGGGTACGATTATGCAAAGGAGGTGTTGTGGCCCACTAAGGGGATTGGATAGCTTGTTAATCATGTAAATAAGGTGCAGGGTACCCTTCTAGGGTAGAGCCATGCAAATAAAGTGTATGGCACCCTAGCAAGGGGATTGATTCATTTTGCCTTCCCGATAGAATTAAAATGAGACAGAAAAGGGGGAAATCTCAAGACCACCAAGAAAGGAGAGCCAGGAGTGGAGTGCCTCCTTCGGACCCAGAATCCTATTCTGAGAACCTCCGAGACCCAGGAGACAGAGAAAGCGGAGAACTCTCACACAGGAAATGGTGAGAGAGGGCAAAGGAAAGAGAAACAGAGGCGGAGACAGTAGCCTGAGATCAAGCAGAAGCCCAGGAGGCTGCCAGCCATGGAGTAAGCATGAAAGAGGCTTGCTGGTGCAGGTTCGTTCCTCCGGGAACTAGTTAGCAGAACTGAAGAGCTTTGTAACATTCACTGATGGGGCAAAGACAGAGGGGCCATGATGAAGAGGCCACGCGCCAAAGACAGGTGTGCCTGTGGGCTCAGCCAACAATAGTTGTTCTTCCTGAAGAACTGGGTTCGGAGTACTTTCTGATCCTGAGTCGGAGCTTATTCCTTCCCTAGTAAACTCCGTAATTGCGAGCGTTTCTCTAAGTTCTGAGAGTACTCCCTGTAGCCATTGCCAGGAATGAATGGGCCAAGCAGAGACGCGGAATGTGCAGTGGGATCAGAATTTGTGAAAAGGTTAGAAAGTGGAGGCATGTGCTTCCTATAAGTCAACTGGGCTGATGCTAGTGGTGGTTCGCTCTCCTCCTTGTGAAGTTCCGAGATCAGCCACCTCCACCCCTACACGTTTTTGCAGATCCTGAGGTATTGATATGTATCTGTTCCCCTTGCCAGGCCAGGAGCATCTCCAGGGCAGGAACGACAGTGTCTACCCAGCACCTGACATGGTGCCTAGCACATAGTAGATGTTATGTGAGTAAATTAATGAGCAGAGGCATTGTCATTTACATAAAGTTGCTCCTGTTATCAGATAAGCATATCTCAATTTTTAAATTTGTATGGAAAATTGGCTGCCTGATTCCTGAGATGAGCTCAGCCCAAGCGTTTTGGTGTATGTTTAAAGACAGCACTAAAAAACTGCATGTGCTGATTTCATCCAAAGCTCTGCTTCCTCTCCCCCAGCTTGCACCGCCCTTGCCTAGTCTACTGGGGTTGAGTTTGGATTGAGGAAGACCTTATTCTATTCTTAGAAAGCACATCTCCATTGTGTGTGTGTGTGGGGGGCAATAAAGATATAAGCAATACATCCCCGGTGAGCTTCCATTCTACCCGAGAGACAGGGTAGGACATCCATTTCCTGGAAAGCTGTCTGGACTCCATGTGAGGGCTGCCCGTCAGAGGTCATACAGAAGCCCCGAGCAGTACCAGTGAAGGGGTCTGTGGTGGGCCCTCTCGTTCACACTCTTCTGCAGTCACACTGCTTCCGAGTTTGGCCGTGGGGCTCCCCTTGGCCAGCGGAATGCTTCCACACACACAACAGAAGTCGAGACTTTGGAAGCACTGGCCAGCCGAGGCGTGCCCTATTGGGACGCTGTTACATTGTGACACATGGCCCGACGGTTGACCCACACCAGCAGTTGGACAGGTCATCCAGCCCTGGTCTCGCCACCTAAGTGACACCTAGGGAGAAAAACAGAAGCGTGAGCAGATCTGCGTCGGAAGAAGAACAACCGGGATGCTTCTTGGAAGTGAGGATGGTGAGACTTTGTCTCACATACTGTGGACATGTTATCAAGAGGGCCCGTCCCGGCGAAGGACAGCGGAAGTAGGACAGCAAAATAAAAAAAAAAAGACCTTCCATGAGAGGGCGTGGCATAACGGCCACAACATACCTGCTGCTGTGCAGAGGGCACGGGCCTGAGCACTGGTTCATGCTGGGACACACAGGGCCTCGGTGGGTCGGAACCCACTCCATGGCACTCAGCAGCAGCCCGTTGTGCGGTGGGTGAGCTGTTACACGGCAGTAACTAAGTCAAACAGTAAGTACCCCCGCCATCAAGCCCTAATAGATGGGTGAGAAAACAGAGGCTAGGATGACTGATGGCTAGGAGCCTCACACTCAGGGCCTGGGCAGGGTCATGAGAGACATCCAGGAACTGGTGGTTGACACATATTCGTGGACACCGGAGGTCTCGGTCTTCAGTGTTTGGTGCATCGGCAGGGTTAGGGGTGGCTTCAAAGAGCCATGCTCGCCACAAGATCAAATGCAACCTATGGGCTTCGTCATCTGGCCGGTCCTTTGGCGTGGTCATGAGTCTGTGATGACCCCTCCACATGCTGGAGCCATTTTCTCTCAGACAAGTGGCACGTGTTCGTATTGAGTTGAGGACTAAGATGTAGTCTACAGGCTCAGGAAAAGACCCTATTGCTTTAAAAAAAAAAAAAAAAAGGACCTTACTGCTGATGTGCTTAACACGGTGCTCTATCTACAAAACAACCAAACCCTCGGGTGCTGGCGAAGGGCTCTCTGTTCTGTCCCACTAAACTCATGGAAAACAAACAAACAGCCTTCCCTGCCCCTCTTCCAAGTCTTACTCCCTAAAAGAACCACCTCAGCAATTTTCACCTTCTTGCTGTTTGTAAGTAGTTTATTGTTTAATGGCATGGGCCTACAGTTATGTCTTGATTGTTCAATTGGTCTGTATTATCTCTTGAACTCCCCCTTTGTACAATAAGAAGTTTGCTCTTAACCCTCTCCCCTGCCCCCAGCCTCCCAATATAAATGTAGCATGTTTGGGGATTACAGAAATGTTCAATAATGACTTACTATGACTATGTAAATATGTTCAGAAATGAGCCATGGGGCTTATGAGGGTCTGTTGGCTTTCTTGTAAGAGTTGCCTTGGCTTTTCATTTGTTTTATTTTGTATGTTTCGATCATGAATTTATCTCCAAACTCTCCAACAGAGGTGTAACAAGTTTATAAAGACATCTAGCAATGTATATGTTTATATATATGTATGTGTGTGTGTGTGTGTGTACACACACACACACACACACACATACACACAGATAGATAGATATATCCATGTGTTGATCCGGGTAGACTAGAGAAACAAATCCATTGACACCCATATGTGTATAAGAAAGAGCTTTATATTCAAGAACAATTGAACATTGAGAAAACATCCCAACCCAGTCCAGATCTAGTCTATAAGTCTGATATTAGCCCATATGCCCCATATCAGTCTGTAAATTCCTCTTCAGACTCACGGAACATATGCAATGATGCCAAATGCAGGAAGATCACAGGCCAGTGGGTGGGAAGTCTTGTGGATCCAGTCGTGTTGTAAGCATCTCAGGTGCTGGTAAGGGTCTTTACATGGTCCCTACAGCTCCCAGGACTGCATCAAGGTAGGCCCATGTGGCTTCTCCTCAGAAATGTCTCACAGGGAGTGAGCAGAGAGAGAGTGTGTCCCACCTCCTAGGAGGAAAACAGTAATTCCCAGAATCCTCAGGAGAAGGCCACGCCTACACAGAGGCCTCATTGGCTATGACAGATTGACAAACTAGACGCCACCCCTTCACTGTTAATCCTCTCAAGTCCCAAATTGACACCAGATCATGTAACTCCCACAGGCCATCATCCACCTGCTCCAGTCTGCACTGGTTGCCTACTAAATCGTCTGAAAGCTTCTCTATCTGCCCTTTTGGGAAGTCCATAGCCTAATTTCTGAGGTGGTTGTTGTGCTTATCAGCACTCAAGTCTTTCCCTTTCTTTCTATAGTCCATTCACTTTTAATTCCAATTTTTTGTGAACTTTCCCTACTCTTTCCCCGAGCTGACTGCCACATCTTCTCCCTGATGAGGCTGGTGGGTTTGAACTGTGGCCCTTCAGTGAGCAGCCAAGCACTTAAGCACAGCACCACCATGATACCCTCCTGCATGGCCAGCATTCTACGGTGTGCTTGGTCTTAAGGTTTTCTTTTCAACTAGCTTAAAAGCCTCTGAGTGACAGCCCCCACCTAATAATCCTTTGGGGGCATAGTTTGAATTGACCTCCCATCATTAGGAGAACACTGGCAATGTGACCCTCCCACATTCCAGTAAAAGAATGGCTATAAATACCCCCCACCCACCCTTCACCCACCCCCGCAACACACATACACACTTTTGGATTGAAGCAAGTACCGATAATTAGAGCAGAGACGTTTTCTGGCAAATAACACAATTAATAGCTGGAAAGGTATGCTTTAGTGAAGACTGTTTATAAACACACCTCTTGCTGCCAAAATCATAAAGTCTAATTAGTTAGCATCACCCCCATCTCCTCTAGCCTCTTCTGTCTCTCTCTCTCTCTCTCTCTCTCTCTTCTTCCTCCGTTGATGCTCGCGCAGGCACACACCCCTTGCTCCGGGAGCTTTCTCTCTCCCCCATCCTGGATCTCAGGTTGCACAAGTTTGCCGCAGAACTGACTTCCCTTCTAGCTGTTTCATCCTTGCACTCCATCAAAAAATATTTTCTGCATCTCTAATTTCATCAAGATATGCCTGACTGAGAATGTCAAAATCACTGAGCAGAAGTGTTTAATCCAAAGTTGGTGCTGCCAGTGATGATCAGCCAAGGAAACAAGCTCAAGTCCCCCCACCCCCAATTATTTGCTAGGACATAAGTTTTCACTTTGTGGAAGAGATTCACATCCTGCCTCTCAGCCCGCACTCTTGCCTGTGCAGAGACCACCCGCTGATTTCCAACAGAGCTCTCGGTGCCCAGGAAGACACGTGGATGGGAACAGGTAGCTGGCCATATGTGGAGGCACAAAGGCTTTCCCAGGCAAGTCGTCTCTTCATGATTGATTGGCCAGGAGATTTGAGAGGCTGAGTGGTTGGAGCACATGCCTTGGGGCCTGTGGGGAATCCAGACTGGGGCTGGGAGTCCACAGTTCAAGTCTCTGCTAAGCATGCTGGTGGCTGCATGAAATCAGCAAAGTTTGCTGAGCTTCAGTCTCACCCTCTGTAAAATGGAGCAATTGGAGCAGCCTTCCAAGGTTGCTGCGAGGATAAAAATAAGACAAGATGAAAGCAGTTTAGAAATGATTCAAAAACAACCAAAACAAACCCACTGCTGTCAAGTTGATTGCGATTCATAGTGACCTTATATAGGATTTCTGAGGTGGTAAATCTTTTTGTTAAATTTAATTTTATTATTATTTTTTATTTAGGTTGTAAATCTTTACAGAAACTGTTAGCCTCATCTTTCTCTCAAGGAGTAGCTGGTGGGTCAGAACCGCCAACTTTGCTATTAACCGCCCAACCCTCACAGTGCCACCAGAGCTCCTTTGTCATGATAAAGTGCCATGCAAATGTCACTTATCACCTCAGTGACTGCATTTCCCCCCACTCAGTCTAGTTCTTTATTTATGAGAGGGTTTTAAAAATTGCATTCTGTCGATAGGAAATTTATGGGAGAGAAAGTGTTAGAGTGTAACTAATGGGGAGGGAAGAGTCTGTTCCCCAGGGAAACCCATGACGTGTTGGCCCAATACAATAACTACATCCACAGCATAGTTTTATGAGGTTAGCAGTCATGCTTAGGAGGTTTGGTTAGGGAATGTCTGAGAACGCTGAGGCTGGAGAGTACACGGAGGAACTAGCCAGGGAGGTGGCACAGCCACACAGGGGTCTGCTGGCTTCACCAGGAGAGGACCACGTGGACATCAGAAACTACGGTTTTCCCCTTGCCATTCTCCCCACCCTTTTCTTTCTCTCTCACTTTATACATTTCCTTCCACAGACCTGTAAACAGCCGCCTTCTCCAAGGAGCCCCGGCTGCTTTTGCTGGAGAAAGACTTGTCGGGTCTTTTTGGTAGACTGTTTTCTGGCTACTCCTTCTTCCCTCATGGGTCCACCATGAACCGCTTGCCAGATGACTCTTCCTGACACCCCAGGTGGTATATGTCCTCCCTCTGCTAGATACGGGTCAACCGGCGTGTGCTGCTAGCAGAATAGAAGCCATTCACCTTAGCCTGGAATTGAGGCCGTCAGTATCAGTGATGGGGAGTGGTGGGCAGAATGGTGGGCCTCCAAAAGTTGAAAGACTCGTGTCTTCACATATCAACGGCACGCATTCTTGTTTCAAAGAAGTCTGCCATCTGGGCAGAGAGGAACCCTTCCTCGGGCCCTTGGTGCCGGTGGCCATGAAGTCCGTTCCAGCTCCTGGTGGCCCACGTACTGAGCCCACCTGCTCCAGAGGGCTTTGGTGGCTGTGACCTTCAGAAGCAGGTCACCGGGCCTGTCCCCCACATCCCGCCTCTGGGTGGGCTCGAACCATCCCCCTTTCCACTCGGAGTTGAGGGCCTGAGCACATGCACCGCTCGGGCTCTGACTGTAATCCGAATCTCAGTGGGCAGGGTCTAAACATGTGTTCTTTTCATGGAGAAAATAAAATAACCTGACTGGACCCACAAACCGTGTAAATGAACCCCAGATTAAAAATCCAACCTTGATCTTAAGGCCCACTAAACTTTTCGATGTTTTCTTACATCTATAGTCTTCCTACCACCATTTAAAAAGTACACATTTCCCTTGTTTAAAAATTCTTATCCATGTTATCCCATCCAAACCCCAGAATTCAAACCATCGGCCTTCAAATAACACTTGTGCCCTGGTTCTCGTCACAGGCCCATCTCCGCGGCTCACCGTTGGGGCGCGTGCCCACCAGTAAGAAATCCAGTGTGAGCGGACGGTGGCAGGTGACTCGAGTCGCCATAGCCCGTCGTCGTCAGCTTTAGGTCCCTGAAGTGCCTTTCTTTTGACACTGCATTTGAAAAAGAGGTGATCTCATCACTTGCGGTTTCGCGGGCACTCATGAGTGCAAACCGCATTTGAACTAACTCTCACATTTGCAGAGCCGCCCTAGAATCCTTTCAACACAATCTGGCCGTGCTCAAGTCCATGGGTCATAAATGTTCTGGACTTCAGCCCTGGCCAGACTCGGGCAGACTCGTGTGTTAGGCTCTGAGTTCCATGAGTCATGTCTCTTCCGCTCAAGTTTGCAGCCGTTCCCAGTGGAGTTACGTGTAAGCCTTTTCAATTGTCCGTGACTGTATTCCACACACATATTGATCCCCCTTCCCTAATTCCCAGCCCTGGTGCCCTGCCCGTCTGTCTGGCGTGGGTGGAGCAGAGTGGCGGCACCATGCTGGCCCCTCAGGGGTCCGGAAGGGGCTGGCACCACTGAGCAGACATCCCTTAATGGGGCTTCTCCAGCTGGTCAACAGCCTCCAAAGAGACCAGCGCACGGCCTGCCGGATGACGAATGCATATGCTCTGCCACACTCCACAGTCCCCAGTCTCGGCCGCAGGACCCACACATGGCCCATCATCTCTGCTTCAGAAGGAAACTGGACAGGACGTCCCCCCAGGAGCCTGTCAGCCCTCCTCATCAGTCAGCCCAGGGGCAGCTCACAGCGACGGCAGCCACTCACTTCCACCCCCAGCCCCTGCACAGCCCCTGCCACCTGGGGAGCCCCACACCAGGGCAGGGCCATCAAGCTTGCCTTCTGCAGGGTCATGTATTTATATTTCTCCACGTAGGACTCTGATTCTCACTGGGGTTAGGCCTCACTCGCTTCCCTTCTTCCTACCAAGAGGCCAGAGTCTATACCTGGACTGGGAACACCCATCCCACCTGCAAGTCTCACTTGACCCAGCAAGCAGGGATGTCACTTATCCAGTAGCCAAAAAGCTGGCCACTGCCACCAAACAATGCACAAAACGAAATCCCTACCAGGAACGTGCAGACCTTCATTTTTCTCAGGCACAGAGAAAGCTCAGTGCTTCCTCCCCAACCCCCATGCCTCCCAACTAGCTGTTCTGCCAGCACACCGCAGGGTGGGTGAACCCACCCTACAAATGTACTCTTGGAAAAAAACAACGTGCAAAAGGACACCTGGAGCTGTCGCAGCTACCTGGTCTCTCTTCTCAAGAACAGTTAGCTAGGGAGACGTGGGGAGGCGGGCGGGAAGGCACATGTGTTCAGCACGTGTCCACACCTTGGACACAGGTTTCCAAGGGAAGTCAACGTCTGCGGCCCATGGAGGAGGGGACTTGACCTGTCCCCACTGGAGCTGCTCTGTTCACCTCAAAACGGAAGGTTTCAGTCGCTTAGGCCTCTCGTCAAATTGGTTTTGCAGGCGAGGGGATGCTTTCTAAGTAGCCTGGAATGGTATCATTTCCTAGATGCAAATTATTTGGGTGTATCTGGAAGCTAATTAAAAGGGAAATGCCCTATTTCGTAAAGAGCAGCATTTCTACATTTAAAGAAATCAGATGTTCTCAGTGGGGAGCAGGGTTTTCTCTTTGTCAGTGTTGGCGATGGCTATGTGCAGCCCAGATTGAAAATCTAAATGAAATAACTAAGGAAAGGCATGGGGGAAGTTTATATTGGAAAACCAGGAAGTGCTCGTGCACGCGCACACACGGGGGAGAGAGAAATAGCTAACGCAATGGCGATTTCTCTGTGAACGTGGAAAGCCTTTTCAACGGCATAGTTTTCTCATCGGCTAGTTACTCATTATTTCCCCGTGAGCGTGGCAAACACGGAGGGTTGCAGAGGGGCCAGGCTCCATCACGGTGTCCAAATTTGGCTTTGTGCATACGCTAAATTAAAGCTTAGCTGGCAGAAGCAGTTCACAGATCCTAGATTGGCAGGGATTGCTCGTGGAAGAAGACAGGGCCGCGGGATTCACTCGGCACCAGGCAACAATGCAGCGTGCTCCAGCCAGCAATCCAAACCGGTTTTAAAATAACTTCTGAATCTTAAATTAGTGAGGTGGTCTGGCCTAGGTAGCCCCTCCCCCTAAAGTCTCTAGCCCCCCTTTCCTTTTTCACACCAGGAAGGAATTGCGTCGGATCTTGCCACGGACTGAGCTCGTGGCTCAAAAGCTTTTCACCAAAGACCCAGGTCATTCAGGTCTCTTCCTCCGGGCTGTGGGCCCGCCAGCCTCGGAGGAGGAAGGTGGGAATCTTAGAGAAGAAAACCCTGCTCCTTTTGCCTTCCTCGGAAATCGGCCAACTGCTGCGAGAGTTCTGATGCAAGAATTAGCGCCACGAAGAAACATATTAGCCAGCCGGAGCCGGATGCCCATGCCAAAAGCATCTGCCATCTGGGCCCTTTTCGTTCACTGTGTCAACCGGAAAAATGCTGCTTGCGTTTCCCAGGCGCTCCACGATAGTTTCACATACTCCAAGAGGTACACTTTTAGGAGCCCTGGTGGTATCGTGGCTGCATGGTGGCCTGTGATCAGAATGGTCAGCAGTTCCAAACCACCAGCCACTCTATGGGAGAAAGGCGAGGCTTTTTATGCCCAGAAACTGTTGGGGTCTTGGAAACCCACCAGGGGGGTGTCACTGTGATGGGCATCGACTCAGGGCAGTGGGTTTGGTTTTTATGGAAGGGTGTAGGGAAGAATCCGGGTGTTACCCTAAGAGACCTTCCTCCCAGTCAACTCCTCGTGCCTGCAGGGTGCGCACTGTTCCATTGTTAAGTCACCCGAGTGTGCAAGTACCAAGAAAGCAGAGACCTCGTCTGAGCTGCTCCCAAAGGGCGCAGCACATAGATCACACCCAAGAAGAACATACTTATTACATTGGTTGGATGGCACCAATGAAGTCAATGTCTCAGCTGTAATGCACAAAAGAGTAAGTTTTTTAAAACTCACTTTGCATCGTGTCTGATCCAGTGAAAATGTGCTTGGGGAGCAGTTGGGACAAGAGGTGTAGTCTTGGTTCTGTCCCCATCACAGGGAAAGACCTGCAGGAATTTGTTCATCTCTCTAGGGCTTGCATGTCTCTGAGTCTCAGAGGACCAGACGAGATCATTGCTAAGCTTCCTTCATCTCTAACGTTGTCAGGTTTTGTGATTCTGAGCCCTGGCCAGCCACCTGAAAATGCATTCTCCGGATGATGGAAGATAGCCCCTAAGACCTGCCTGGGAAAGGCAGCATTCTCGGTAGAAATAGCCGCTCCAAGAACATGCCCTAAAGACAATG